ATCATCATCATCATCATCATCATCATCATCATCATCATCATCATCATCATCATTTGTGGACTCGCAACTTGTCTAACATTTATCAGATGAACACTGAAGGTCGATTCAGAGGAAAGGGAGAGTCTACCATTCAACCACAAGAATTGAAGACAATAAACTTTTGTCACTATGATAGGGAATATCTACACATTCTGATGAATTGTTGCAAGAGACAAGAAAATTGGAAAGTCTTCGTAGGTAATGGTAGGGTATTGTTTGACTAGACGAAGAGGCAATGGTTGGGAAGAAACATTTTCTTTGTTTTGTTCAGAAAATCAAGCTAAGCAAATACGTTTAGAGTTTGAGATACGCCCAATTTGATGGTGGCGTTTTACTAGTTTTAGTTTTACTTTTAGACGTGCTCGAAGAAGATTAAAGTAAGTTCGTTTCATCTCCGCTCACAGTTTTTGATGTGGCCGCCGGCTCTCTACGACATCTACCAAGACAGAAGTGGCTCTGTTCCTCCCAGAGGAATAAACGTCCTCCTCTAGCTGTGCCGATGGTAACATTACTAGTTCTAGTTCTCGCTGATTACTGTCAACTTATTCGTATGCCCTATTATCATGTCATTATTCTGATTCTACCACGGATTGTTTCACTGTTACTGCTACTATTCAGTTGCTCTCTATATCCACTCGGCTCAGCAGCGTTTGAGATAGATCAGACCAGATCATCTACCTGTCTCTGCTCTGGACATTTTTTGGAGTGCACAAATTTTGCTTTTCTACTTGTGTCCCACGTGCTCATAATAATTATGACCCCAATCAGTTGTGAGCGCCGTAACACTCATACCAAACCGAACTGAAATTAGAAGATTTAATTTAATAGATAATACTATTGAAAGGGCACACCTTTCAGTACCAGCGGTCGCGTCCCCAGAGCACCTGATTCTGCTACAAAGAAGTTGTGTAGAAGACCGGACTGTACCCATTTTATCGAATTCACCCAGTCATCGTGTTGAAACATTGTGCTACCCACTCATCATGATCATCATTGCCTTTCTCACCCTGGATCAGGATATAGGCCACAGACAAACACTTTCTCACCCTGGATCAGGATATAGGCCACGAACAAACATTTTCCACCTTTCCCTATCCTGGGCGAGTCGTTTGATGTCACTCCATGTCTTCCCACTTTTATGTACATCCATTTCCATGACTCTTCTCCAGGTTCCACGTGGTCTTCCCCTTGATCTTTTACCCTGTGGGTTCCAATCTAACACTTTCCTTGTTATGCAGCTGCTTGCCTTCCTGCCCGCTCAGGCAGCACACCAGTTTAAAGCTAAATAAGTTCTGCTGCATCAGATGAAACATTATTTTTTCATCTACGACAGGGATCGCCCGAGATAAAATCGTTACTCAAAACTGACCTTAAAAATCATGCTTTGCTAAATTGTGTGAAATCAACGAAACGTAAGGGGCTCTTGTGGTCTAGAGGTTAGAGTGTTCGCCTCTCGTTCAATGGTCCAGTGCCCAAAATCCGGTTAGCAACGGAAAATATTATTCTGTAAAACTGTTTACTTTCACATCCTTTCCTGCTGCTCTCAAACCATGTTCTGTCGTCTGCTTTCGTCTCTTCTTTCTGTCCCCAACCCCTCACCTCTTTTGCCCCCTCCTCTGGGCTCCAGACTCTTTTTGCAGCCTTTCTGCTGCTACTCCTTGGCACCTTCTTACTGCTGTCTTTCAGCCACATCCCTGACCTTATGGTAGATAAGATCTACACCTAGCCTTCTCGGACATGGGTGAAAAATCTCTGAGGTCCCGAGTGCAAGTTGCGCACGTTAAAGATCACTTGGGGTCCAAAACCGAGAGTAGGCTTCGACCCACTGAAAAAGTTTAATGTGTCCCGTGCGCTCATAATGACCTAAGCAGTTGCGAGCACCGTAAAACACTTACAACACCCCCCAAAAAAACACACACAAAAAAACCACCACCAACAACAAAAAAACCAATAACAAAAAAACAACAACCAAAAAAAAAAAGCCAACAACAAACAAAACAAAAACACCAAAAACCTGAAATGTAAATGTGTGTCTCCGCCTGTATTGGAGTGCAGTATCATTGGTGGAATGGACATGCATTACATATCAAATGAATGCAATAAACACTGTTTTATTATAGTATTTTCAGACAGATGGCAAAACAGAGAACTCACAAATACCCCCAAAACTTGGACCTAACGTTAAATGTGCTCATTGGTAAATTTGGTTTACGAGCCTTTGATTTTGTGTAGAAAACCAACCGTTTTGGAGCATGTGCTGTTAGTTCGATTTTGGACATGATCATCTGTAACTGAGGAACAGAGACCACGAAACTGCCATGGTTTAGGGTGACCTGGCTGGAAAGAACAAATCCCCACTCGTACATTTCGATGGCTACCGGACTCGAAATCGTGAGGTTGTCGGTGGTCTAGTGGTTAGGCTACCGGACTCGAAATCGTGAAGTTGCGGGGTCGGGGGTTCGAGCCGCGGGCCCGACGTTTTGTCCTTGGGAAAGGCTCTTTACACGAATTTTCCTCACTTCACCCAGGTGGGAATGGGTACCCTGCTATTGACAGCGAAAGATCTTGTCTGTATGTTAGTGCTTTAGCGCCTATAAAATGGCCGCTTGCACTGTATGCTTCCCAGGAAGTTGAGGTTGTTTCAGAATGTTCTCAGGTCTTCTGGGGTAATAGTATAGGTTGTGAAGCGCATAGAGCTTGCTGTTGAGCTGGGATTTGCGCTATACATTATCGCTCATATGACCTTATGCAGTTGCGAGCGCCGTAAAAACTCTACTACTACTACTACTATTACAATCATCATTATCATTATTATTATTATTATTATTATTATTATTATTATTATTATTATTATTATCATTATTATTATTATTATTATTATTATTATTATTATTATTACAAATATCATTATTTGTATTATTATTATTATTGTTATTATTATTATTATTATTATTATTATTATTATTATTATTATTATTACTATTATTATTACTATTATTACCATTATCATTATTTGTATTATTATTATTATTATTATTATTATTATTATTATCATTATTATTATTACTATTATTATTAATATTATTATTGCTTTTTTTGAGGATTAACAACGCTCAAGTACTGGAACGTCACGTCCTATCCTCATTTCGTCGGCGTCTTTCAAGCAGACATCTCTTTATACCTGACAAAGCACCTTCTGACAAGGCCAGTGACTTCAGACAATTCTTGGAAAAGCAAATCTTGCAGACGACAGGGTGGTCATCAGTGTAAAGAGTCCCGATAAAAACCCTACAGGTAATATGTGGAGCCCCGTGAATCAGAAGCTGAAGGAAAGCGACTTTGCTCCCAGTTCAGACGTTTTGTTTGCTACTCTTTGTGGCATTAAGTGATGAAATGACAGATAATTCATTAAGGCATGAAATGACAGATAATTCATTAAGTGATGAAATGACAGATAATTCATTAAGGGATGAAATGACAGATAATTCATTAAGGGATGAAATGACAGATAATTCATTAAGGCATGAAATGACAGATAATTCATTAAGGGATGAAATGACAGATAATTCATTAAGGGATGAAATGACAGATAATTCATTAAGGCATGAAATGACAGATAATTCATTAAGGGATGAAATGACAGATAATTCATTAAGGCATGAAATGACAGATAATTCATTAAGGGATGAAATGACAGATAATTCATTAAGGGATGAAATGACAGATAATTCATTAAGGGATGAAATGACAGATAATTCATTAAGGGGTGAAATGACAGATAATTCGTTAAGGGATGAAATGACAGATAATTCATTAAGGGGTGAAATGACAGATAATTCATTAAGGGGTGAAATGACAGACAATTCATTAAGGGATGAAATGACATATAATTCATTAAGGGATGAAATGACAGATAATTCATTAAGTGATGAAATGACAGATGATTCATTAAGTGATGAAATGACAGATAATTCATTAAGTGATGAAATGACAGATAATTCATGAAGTGATGAAATGACAGATAATTCATTAAGGAATGAAATGACAGATAATTCATTAAGGGATGAAATGACAGATAATTCATTAAGGGATGAAATGACAGATAATTCATTAAGGGATGAAATGACAGATAATTCATTAAGGGATGAAATGACAGATAATGATGTCCAAAACTTAACACAGCCCAAGCCCAACGGGTCCGTCTTCTTCACTAAACCAATGCTTCTTAAACAAATTAATACTTTAGAGCACATGATATGTTCAGGTCCAAGTTTTGTGTGATATTTGTGACTACACTATTTCCCCATGTGTTTCAAAGTATCGCTATCGTTTCTTGTCAACAGAAACGTTCTCCACTCATTATATATATGCAATACATGTCCAGTTCACCAGTGTTGTGCACCTCAATACAAGCGCAAAGTATCATAATAAAATATCGTTTCTTTTCAATAGAAAAGTTCTCCATCCATTTGATAAATGCAATCCATGTCCATTCCACCAGTCTTGTGCACCTCAATACAAACGCAAAGACTCTTTTAGGTTTCTTTGATTTCCCCCAATTTTGCCAAGCATGGTTTCTTAAGGTCAAATTTGAGTGACCATATCTCGGGCGACTCTTGTGGTAGATGAAAAATCAAAGTGTCAAATGATGCGGAATATATTCAGTTTCAAACTGGTATGCTGCATCAGTGGGTGGCGCCATGCTTTAACACGATGATTGGGTGAATACATTTCCAAAATTCTTTTGGACGCCACTGTATATCCCACATATTGAAACTGCTGAACATATTTGTTCTTTTCACTTTCGCATATTACGTTACTGTGTGGGTATTAACAGTTATCGTAAGGAATTCGATATGATATGCGAGGCAGCGTGGTGGAATCAGGCTCTTGTCAAAATGATCAAAATAAAGAAACTTGCGTTTTTTGCACGTTTGTGAATTTTTATCGAATTTTTGTTTTTGACTCAACACCTTTCATGCCCATTAAAGAACTACTTTCTGTGTGAATTTTTCTGAAAAATGTTGATTAAAGGCACAAAAAATGTAAATTTTCAGTTACCACGGATTCTTAAGCTAAGGAAAAACCAATCTTTGGTGGCCATTTTCTCTCTAATTTTATCTCTGAAAACAGGTGACCTCTACCTCTTTCTTTCGCAAATATCTCGACTTGTATTCAAGATAAATGGATATTTTTTTCATCCATATAAAGACAAGTGAACAAGCTTTAAGATGATACCAATAACTCTACATGTCCAAAAATTGACGAGAGCCTGATTCCACGACGCTGCCTCACATATTTCTGGGTTTCTTAGGATACTGTAGAAAATCCCATGGAATGAAGTGACTTGAAACGAGATTGCCCTGAGAGAAGCCCAAGGGGGACGCTTACAAGTCTAAAAAAAACCCCTATCAATTAGGGAGAAAATGCCCAGTCTCTGACACTTGAATGGACATGAAAGATCTTGAGCATCTCAGTGGAGATGGAGACGAGACAACCGACAGAGACAGACCAAGAGCCACTTGCTTACCGGACTTGGTCAGACGCTGTTACATCTCCGTTTCCATTTTTTCAGCTCTCCTGATTTCTGCACTTCATCGACGTCAAGGAAAGTGGAGGAATTCTAAAAATAGCGGCAGTGCACAAAGTGGCACCCACTCGTCAAGAAGATCAGCAAATCGGAATAGCGACAAGCAAATTGCCAAAATGGTATTACTCATTGCTGTGGTGTTCATAATTTGCTATTCTCTCAAAAGCGCTTTTAGTCTGCTTAGCGTGTTCCTAGGTGAACTAAAAATAGGCAAAAAGTACCACAACGAAATTCTGATTGGTTTTTCTGTTAATCACGCTATGAAAACGGTATTATATAGGACTTTGGGGGTCCAGTACATACTTGATGCAGTCATACAGACTTCAACATAAGTCAAGGACCATATGGACAGATAGTTCTGATTTGCCAAAATTCGAAAAAAGACAGCTAGGAATGTTGAAACAATTTTTAACCCTGAAAGTGTTAATGTGTTAAACGGTGCGTACTGCAAAGCTTCCTAAAGAGGGAAAACCACCACGCGCAACACGAAAATCCACCGGGGATTTTAGCCAAATGTTCAAGTGGCCCTTCACTTATTTTGAAGTCTGTACTGAAGTTCTGAGTTTACGGAAAATTGTGTTACATCAGGGCATCATAATTCTATTGCTGGTGTAATTTTATCATTGATGACGCATATTATTTTCCTAAACTAGACCCAGGGGGCTCTCGTGGCCTAGAGGTTAAGGTGTTGTCCTCTCATTCAAAGGTCCCAGGTTCGAATCCGGGTAGGGACCGAAAAATTTTCTTCTTTAAAATTGTCTCCTTTTACCTCCTTTCCTGCTCTCTAGCAATGTTCTGTCGTCTGCTTTCGTCTCCATTTTCTGCCCCCACCCTCTCACCTCCATTGCCCCCTCCTCTAGGCTCCTGACTCTTTCTGCAGCCTTTCTACTGCTACTCCTTGGCTCCTTCTTACTGCTGTCTTTCAGCCACATCCCTGATCGTCTGGTAGGAAAGATCTACCTGCATGTTAGCAAACATTAGAGCTAAATAATGTGTCTGTTGATTTTTTCCTAAACGAAGTAGAAACATTTTAATGAATTTTTTCCTGAGGTAGTATTCACGTTTGCAAAAAATCCGTGAAAATCTACACCCAAACACCACCAACAAAAGTCTATTCCATATATATCAAACATTAAAAGAACAGATCTTTAGTATTACATCTTCTCTTCATTCAATGAAAATTCCATGAAGATTTGATGAAAAATGGTGGAGTTATTTAAAAATGTATGGAGAAAAATCGCGTTTTGAGAAAACGGCCGATAAAGAAAAATAGAATTTATTGACTTTATGAGGAAATAGTGGTGACAAACATGCCAGGTATGGGAAGAAATTAGGCTTTTGGGGGTCTTATGCAATGGAATAGTTGTAGGAAAGGCCGAGGAAGCTAAAAAAAATGCCTACAACTCAAATTCCATTATTTTGAACTGAATCGGGACTTTGGGGGTGTAGCCCCCCCCCCCCCCCTTAACCTACTGTGTATGCATTATGTGTTTACTTGTGTGTATTAGGTGTATTTTATTAACCTACAGTGGATTTATTTAATGCATTTTTGTTAAACTACTGTGTATGTATTCTATGTATTTTGTTAACATAATGGTGTATCTATTCAACGTAATTTTGTTAACATATGCTGTATCTATTCTATCTATTTTTTAACCTTCTGTGTTTGTATTCTTTACATTTTTGTTAACATATGGCGTATCTCTTCTACGTGTTTTGTTAACATATTATTATGGTGTGTGTATTCTAAGTATTTTGTTAAAATAATGGTGTATCTATTCTACGTATTTTTGTTTACATATTTATGGTGTATCTATTCTATCTATTTTTAACCCACTGTGTATGTATTCTTTACATTTGTGGTAACATATGGTGTATCTCTTCTACATATTTTGTTTACCTGCTGTGTATGTATTCTATAATATACTTTTGTTAACATATTATGGGGTATCTATTCTACGTATTTTGTTAACATATGGTGTATCTATTCTACGTATTTTTGCTTACATAATGCAGTATCTCTTCTATTTATTTTTAACCTACTGTGTATGTATTCTTTACATTTTTGTTAACATATGGTGTATCTCTTCTACATATTTTGTTTACCTACTGTGTATGTATTCTATCTATTTTTAAACCTACTGTGTATGTATTCTATATATCTTTGTAACATATTATGGTGTATCTATTCTACGTGTTTTGTTAGCCTACTGTGTATCTATTCTACGTGTTTTGTTAGCCTACTGTGTATCTATTCTACGTGTTTTGTTAGCCTACTGTGTATCTATTCTACGTGTTTTGTTAGCCTACTGTGTATCTATTCTACGTGTTTTGTTAGCCTACTGTGTATCTATTCTTCGTGTTTTGTTAGCCTACTGTGTATCTATTCTACGTGTTTTGTTAGCCTACTGTGTATCTATTCTACGTGTTTTGTTAGCCTACTGTGTATCTATTCTACGTGTTTTGTTAGCCTACTGTGTATCTATTCTATGTGTTTTGTTAGCCTACTGTGTATCTATTCTATGTATTTATGTTAGTTTAGTTAGTTTTAGTAGAAGTTTTACAGCGCTCGCAACTATATGAGGTCATATGAGCGCCAGAAGATTAGAGGTGTTACAAGAGAGTAACAAACATAAAAAGAAGGAGGGGGGATAAGGACGATAGATGTTGGATAGGAAAGAAGAAGCAAACCACACCAGAGCACGAACGGATTGTACATGTATTGTGTATATCCTTTCCTTGTTCAACAAGTGCTGAAGTTATTCACGTAACAGGGACAGCCGAAATTGTTTAAGACGTCCACGTAATGTCGAGGAGCGAAATGACCGTATTGAACAGGTGGCTGTCTTACACGGTGTCATTTTTATGGTAACAGAAAAAGTACAATAAACAAAAAAAGAAAGGAAGGAAGAAAGAAAGAAAGAAAGAAAGAAAGAAAGAAAGAAAGAAAGAAAGAAAGAAAGAAAGAACGAACGAACGAAAGAAAGAAAGAAAGAAAGAAAGAAAGAAAGAAAGAAAGAAAGAACGAAAGAAAGAAAAGAAAAAAAGAAAGAAAGAAAGAAAGAAAAAAAAGAACGAAAGAAAGAAAAGAAAGAAAGAAAGAAAGAAAGAAAGAAAGAAAAAAGAACGAAAGAAAGAAAGAATGAACGAAAGAAAGAAATAAAGAAAGAAAGGAAGGAAGAACGAAAGAAAGAAAGAAAGAAAGAAAGAAAGAAAGAAAGAAAGAAAGAAAGAACGAAAGAAAGAAAAGAAAGAACGAAAGAACGAAAGAAAGAAAGAAAGATCGAAAGAAAGAAAAGAAAGAAAAAAGAAAGAAAAAAAGAAAAAGAAAAGAAAGGAGGGGAGGGGGGAGGGTGGAAAGCGGCAGTTGCGACAAGTACAATGTAGTTGTCTTATACAGGTGACATACACACCGGTAGTTGTCTTATACAGGTGACATACACACCGGTAGTTGTCTTATACAGGTGACATACACACCGGTAGTTGTCTTATACAGGTGACATACACACCGGTAGTTGTCTTATACAGGTGACATACACACCGGTAGTTTCCACAAGCAGTTGTCTTATACAGGTGACATACACACCGGTAGTTTCCACAAGCAGTTGTCTTATACAGGTGACATACACACCGGTAGTTTCCACAAGCAGTTGTCTTATACAGGTGACATACACACCGGTAGTTTCCACAGTAGTTGTCTTATACAGGTGACATACACACCGGTAGTTTCCACAAGCAGTTGTCTTATACAGGTGACATACACACCGGTAGTTGTCTTATACAGGTGACATACACACAGATAGTTTCCAAAAGTAGTTGTCTTATACAGGTGACATACACACCGGTAGTTTCCACAAGCAGTTGTCTTATACAAGTGACATACACACCGGTAGTTTCCACAAGCAATTGTCTTATACAGGTGACATACACACCGGTAGTTTCCACAAGTAGGTGTCTTATACAGGTGACATACACACCGGTAGTTTCCACAAGTAGTTGTCTTATACAGGTGACATACACACCGGTAGTTTCCACAAGTAGGTGTCTTATACAGGTGACATACACACCGGTAGTTGTCTTATACAGGTGACATACACACAGGTAGTTTCCACAAGTAGTTGTCTTTTACAGGTGTCTTATACAAGTGACATACACACCGGTAGTTTCCACAAGCAATTGTCTTATACAGGTGACATACACACCGGTAGTTTCCACAAGTAGGTGTCTTATACAGGTGACATACACACCGGTAGTTTCCACAAGTAGTTGTCTTATACAGGTGACATACACACCGGTAGTTTCCACAAGTAGGTGTCTTATACAGGTGACATACACACCGGTAGTTGTCTTATACAGGTGACATACACACAGGTAGTTTCCACAAGTAGTTGTCTTTTACAGGTGACATACACACCGGTAGTTTCCACAAGTAGTTGTCTTATACAGGTGACATACACACCGGTAGTTTCCACAAGTAGGTGTCTTATACAGGTGACATACACACCGGTAGTTGTCTTATACAGGTGACATACACACAGGTAGTTTCCACAAGTAGTTGTCTTTTACAGGTGACATACACACCGGTAGTTTCCACAAGTAGTTGTCTTATACAGGTGACATACACACCGGTAGTTTCCACAAGTAGGTGTCTTATACAGGTGACATACACACAGGTAGTTTCCACAAGTAGTTGTCTTATACAGGTGACATACACACAGGTAGTTTCCACAAGTAGTTGTCTTATACAGGTGACATACACACCGGTAGTTTCCACAAGTAATTGTCTTATACAGGTGACATACACACCGGTAGTTGTCTTATACAGGTGACATACACACAGGTAGTTTCCACAAGTAGTTGTCTTATACAGGTGACATACACACTGGCAGTTTCCACAAGTACATATGTAGTTGTCGTATACAGGTGACATACACACCGGCAGTTGTCTTATACAGGTGACATACACACCGGTAGTTGTCTTATACAGGTGACATACACACAGGTAGTTGTCTTATACAGGTGACATACACACAGGTAGTTGTCTTATACAGGTGACATACACACCGGTAGTTGTCTTATACAGGTGACAAATTGTCATACTTCGGTGTTGGTGTGTAAACTTTTACTTTTTCTTAAGTCCTAGTGTACCTACAAGAACAACAGACAGTCAGACACCATTGCTGCAATGCTAGACAGAGTGAAGTTGA